TTCACCGATTTAGTCTGACCTTCACCAGTCTTCTTTTAATATAAATTATCTAGTGTGTAACTGTGTTTAAAGCAAGTTCTACTTCAATTTGTTTAGTTTCTACGTACAAGGGCAAAGTTCCAAATGGCAACAGAGTCGACATTAATTAAAAACGTTGATCTTCTCACTATCTGTCCCAACTCTAAGCAGATAACGAAAAGATCACTATTTTCATATTGTTTATACACTGGCTGGTTCGCATGTTAGAGCATGGTCGGCTCAGCCACATGCCTCAGTGGCTGGATTATAAACCAGGTGCGATAGAATGGCTCACTTCAAGGCCGCCAGGTGACTTCAAGTGACTTCCTATGCCCAGGAAATGATAATAATAATAATAATAATCCTTGCATTTGATATAGCGCTTTTCACGTCAGGAGGACGTCCCAAAGCGCTTCACAGAACACACTGTAAAATGAATTGACTGTATATTTGTGGGCGAACGCGGCAGCCAATTGCGCGCAGCAATGTCCCACAAACAGTCGTAGATTGAAAATGACCAATTTATTATTGTTTTGGGTTTTGGAGGGATTATTAATGCTGGCGACGTTACTTCCAGTGCACTGGACGTGTACGCTGTGCAGAGGAAGCGCTGCTGATATTAAACATGCAGAGTTTTGAGTTACTTCATGAAGCTCCAAAGGACTGCTTCAGGAACCAATTTTGGAGAGACTGCTTTCTGTTTATCTGAACAGCATCACATTGTTTTCTTGAGGTTCGTCAGATTTGACCGACGGAATGCGAGTTGTTTCTGTTCTGGAGTTTTGTAAATGTCAAGCCTGTATACTTCTTGTCTGAATTTACAACCACTTAACAGTCTGTGTATGTAGTCCACACTCCAGTGTATTTCACATGGTGACCATGTATAGTAACAGTATGAAACTTAATGGGCGAAGGCAACAATAACATTTTTGGCACTGTCGTTATGGCAAGTCTGTAAAGTATTAGAGGCTGGAGGTATAACAGGTATTTGAGTGAACAGACAATGTTTAATATAACTTATTATTGTATTATTTTGACACTTTCTATGAGTCAGTGACATTATTCTGCCATCTCGAGTGATAATGAGAACTGGGAGAATAAAGGTCTTAGAAGAACTTGTATACTCAGCACTGTATGTACTGTGTATACAATAGATGCATAGACGGGAGAAATTGGGAAAAGAAAACTGACATCAAAAACAGATTAAAACGGTCAAAATATTTCTAAATTTCTGTCTCTGTAAATAGACGCTTACGTTTTTTTTCCTTAACAACTGCACGCAGGCACATAACTAGATTCATATTCCAGGAAGCTTATGTGGCGCACCTTCCCAAACCTTTTCATCAGCAATAATTTTAATTTATACAGAGTCCTTTATATAGGGCAATGTCTTGAAGCATTTTACAAGGATGGGGAGGAGTGCCAAGTAAGGGAGAGGAGGGGTGGGGAATTGGGAGGTTTTGAGTAAGGACTTAAAAGACCAAAAGAAAGAGGGTGAGGTGGAGGGATAAAAGGAGGGAGTGCTAGAGGTTAGTGTATAAGCTCTGAAGACTCGGTCACCAATAGTGGAGCAGAAAGGGGTTCGTTGAGTGCAAGGGAGTGTTCGGGCCGTGGGATGTCGTCCTGACTTGAAAACTGCTGCCTTTATCTACAGGGATCAGTTACACAGGTTGGCAAGTCCCGTGTCTGCCCACCTTTGATCTGCAGGACCGCGAGCCATTACATTACTCTCTGTTGCTCCCCCACTATATGGGGAGATAACAACAACTCGCGTTTATATAGCGTCCTTCACGTAGGGTAGCACCCCGGAGCACTTGACAGTGGCGAAGTCTGACCCTGAGCCAGACTTATATACATTTTTCGGGGCTCTTTGGTTATAAGTTGAGCAACATTAGAAAGACATTGTACGCACAAATAATAATTAGTAATAATCCTTGCATTTGGCCGAGTGCCTTATCACGTCATTGAGGTGTTTCAAAGTGCCTCACAGAGTATTCTGTATATAATCTTACATACATTTGCAGCGACAATCTTACACAAGGTGATCAAAAAGTCGGGATACCATTACACTGTCTAATAAGTTTTAAAAAAGTGATGATATATATATATTTTTAGATAATAGGGTAGATAGCACGACGTTTTGGTCACCTTACAATACAGGTGGAGTGGCCACTGGTGTCTCCCTCAGTGGGAACGGATGGATGGTGGTACCTGGGGATGTGACGCTGATGTGAGCGCTGCTAAAACAGGAGCAGCTCCGGCTGGGGTCAGGCCTCTGACCACCTTCACCGGGCTGAACGGAGCTTTTATAATCCGATAGAACAATATAAATGTCAGCACAGCAGAAAGCAATATGTGCCTGTTGCAACGCTGGCTTTCACAGCATCTACTCTTTCTCCCACTTTTTGAGTATTTTTAAAAATGCAACAATTTCATAAGAAAAACTCTTCAACTTTTATGGTTTTAGAGTTTGGTTGTGAGTAGTGGTATCTGTACATGTTTTTAAATGTTTTGCCATTTCCATGTTTCCTGTAGGACTCTTTCTTTAGTCAACAAGACTCGTAGATCAATCAAAGCTGAGAGATTTTAAAGCGCAAATGGGCCACCAGACAGGTCTGGATGTAATGAAATTATGTCATATGAGATAATCTGCATATTTTCCAGTTTAAATCATAGTGCAGGATACATGATTGCTAATTAAGGTACCTTCTTATATTTCATCACATTACTATTTCGAAATAATGACTTTTATGCCATCAATATTTGCAACTGCACTGAAAAAAAAACCCCAGCCCAGACAGACTGAAAAGCAGTCACTTTTGCGTTCAGCGTCTGTGTAAACAGTTTACTTCGACTTTAAAGACTGGCTTCATCTTCCTAAACATCTGGTTCTGGGATATAAAATATTTTATTTTCTTTGGAAAGCAAAAGGAAGTGCTTTCAGCCAAAACAGATCAAACCTCCTTCGCACAGACTCGCTGGTTGGGGGCACATTGCATTATGCCTCACAGCCCTGCACACACACCACAGTCAGTCATGCTGCTTTGCAATCTGAGTCATTTTTTTCAGAGAAACACTCACTCTGCTTTCATTTCTTTCCCTTGAGTATTGCTATTTGATGCCGCAAGATAAAAATCAAATGAGACAATGAAACATTTCTTGAAAATACGTTTCCGAAGCCACAGCATAATTCAACACATAAGCATATGCTATACACCGCGGAAGAAACTGAAAACATTTCATATTTCTGATACTAAATGTAGGCTACGGCTGAGCCTACTTTTTCTGGCAGGATATATTGCCATTATACGCAATATTTAATGAATGACAGCCAGCGTGGCTTCAGAAAGAGGAGCTGTTTGCTTTTCCTGATGTCACACAGCCTCTCTTTGTGTAGAGGTGGCTGTCATTTGTTATTTTATTTTCATCAAGATAACCTTCCTTTTTTCAAATAATCAACTCCATTATTTTCCTATTATTGAGGTCAGGCTAATGGGTTTGCAGTGCAGCGATGGCTTCTCACATCACATTTGCACCAACCAGTCCGTCCGTGCCATTGCTTATACTCCACATGAGTCTCCACCCGCTTCTTCCTTCAAATACTTTTTTTGTTCCCTTCTTCATGTGTATTTCTAGCTTCCTAATTCCATGCTACACTATCAATTAACAGGACAAACAGGATGCCGGGAGACATTGCCTAATCAAGTGAGTTCAGATCTGCAGAAGACTATTATATTAATATAAGACACATTCAACTTATTCAGCGCTCTCATCAGGGAAACCTGAAGTATCATAGGAGGGAGGCACTGCCTATGAGCTTGTTTTTAGCGATTTATGTACAATGAACACCCAAATTCCTTTGCTCCTCCACAGTTCTTGGTTTCTCACCATAAAAAACGTTAGGCTTTTGTATCCATAGTCGATGACCCCACACTTCCTCATATTGAACTCCATCTGCCACAGTTTTGCCCACTCCCTTAATCTGTCTAAATTCCTTTGCGACTTCCTGCTCCCATGTACACAATTTACCTCGCCTCCTAACGTTGTGTCATCTACAAATTTGGATATAAAACTCTATCCCTTCATCCCAGTCGTTTATATATATGGTGAAAATCTGAAGGCCCAATACAAGACCACTGGGGAACACCACTTGTCACATGCTGCCAATCGGAGAACGTTCCCTTTATCCCTACTCTCTGTTTCCTGCCTCACAGTCCATTTCCAAGCCACATCGCAAGGTTACCTCCGACTCCACGCGCTTTCATTTTTGCGAATAAGCTCTTGTGCAGAACCTTATCAAATGCCTTCTGGAAGTCCATGTAGACAACATCCATAGACTCTTATCCACCATTTGTGAGATAGATCTTTGCCATTCTCAATTCCCCTTATACTTCACTGCTATTATCAACTGTCTGTCTAAATTAGTTTTTGTGATAATCTTGAATTTTATAATATAATTTCACACTAGATTTTGGTAATGTTAGTTTTGTGTCCATTTTATAGGAGCTTAACATTCTTTTTCATAGATATTCAACAAAAATCAGACCATGGACACTGGGAGAAACTCCTTTCTCTTTTCAAATAGCACCATGGGAACCAAAATACAATTTGGATGTACTTTCGTGTCCTTCACACATATTTACAATTGTAGGTGAAAAATTATAATTATACTGGCATCTGCTGTGTGACTATTCAAGGGTGAATTATGAGGATTATATTACTTGTAGAGATTTCTCTCAATTGCCTTCACAGTTAGACAATCATTTGACAGAACAACCACTGAAATTGTGCAGCTCCCTCGGGAATTTGTTGGGAGTTTTGTGAAAGTAAATTGTAGCACAGACACATTACCCTTTTTTGTGCAGAAAATGTTTACTTCTATATACAGTAAACTGTTTTTGGAGCAATGGGACTATGAATCCAAACCATGTTTTCTTGCTGCTAATTTTCTAATGCCATTTTTTAAATTGTTTAACCCTTAGGCTGTGCTGGATTGCGGACTGTAGCGTCTGAGTCTGAAATAAAGAAGGTTGAGGAGCAGGACGTCATTTTACCATGTCGACATCGCTTCGATCACTCGGTTTCAGGAAACTTGGATATCGAGTGGCTTTTGCAAGACTCTGAGCCCGGTCAGAAAGTGGTGAGCATCCTTTTGCAGATAGTTTATATTACAGCCAATTATTGTTCTAACATTTGACGGTTCAACGGGATGATATGCTGACGTTTGGAGTCCAGTGCTCGTTTAATAACTTTAATGGTACTTTTGCCGTTTTTTTAAAATGTAAAACAAACAGCAATGCTCGTTGTAGTTAATCCCTATAATCATCAAACATGGACAAACATTGGAAACACCACTCACCAGTTTGTGTTTCTGTCACGAGGAAAATTTGCAATTGCTAACTAGCTATCGTACCACATTGTGTATTATTTTACAGTTTTTTTTTACCCCAATCTATTTTCCGTTTGTGGGTTTTCTCCCCTTCCCCTTCTCTAATTTCCCAGTAGCCGGGGGCTGAGCTGAAAACCTGCTCCCGCACTCTGCCAAAGTTCGGCTTTTGTCCCAGCTGCTGGCAGCTGTTTGAACTTGACTTATTGACTTCAGCTATGATCTTCTGCCCCTCTCTTTGTGCAAAGTCCTGACTTGCATTCAGCGCCCGTTCAACAAAATAATGTTTACAACCTAATGGTGCAAGCGAGCGTCATAAGTCTGCGTGATGGAGGTTTGTTTAACCACAATAAAATTGGAAAATAATGGGAAAGTCACAGTAAGAATCTGCATTGTAGTGCATGTTAACCAATGCAGGACAGGATTTGTTCAGGTTACATATGGAAGGCAATGTCACCAGGAGTTATAGAGAGAAACCCTAAACCTGTGTCCTCTTCATCTACTCTCCTGGAAAAGTTTTGATCTGATTTACTTTTTCAATCCGATTTAAAATTTGATGTAACTGTGAGGTCCTTTCGGAGTCAGGTTCTCCCAAGACTGCAAAGCCCTACTTGTCTAATCATTGCTCAGAAACACAGGGGATCATTCTTGTTGCTCTCGTCCGCACTACCTCTAGGGCCTAAGCAACAACAACAACATCTTGGATTTATAATAAAAGCAACCCCCTAAAAGGCTAATTTGATCACTTTCTGTTTGTTACACAGGTTATCACATATTCAGGAAGAACAGTGTACAACAATGTGAGCGATAAGCAGAAAGGAAGGGTCTCCTTTGCAGCAGATTATCTAACGGGAGATGCTTCTATAAAAATAACATCCCTACAGTCAACAGATTCTGGACTCTATACATGTAAAGTGAAAAATGAGGGCGTCTATGACCTGAAATCTCCTATTAATCTGATCGTTTTAGGTAAGTCCATGAGTGTCAAATAGAAAGCCATTTACACCTCAATAGATTTAGTGTAATTGCTGAAAATATTCACATAGAGAAAGCATTTGTATTTTATCCAACTTTATCATGACAAAATGCGTCAAAGCAATGTCAGGTATAGTGCATGTAGGAAAACACAGCAAGTCTCACAAACAGTTAGGAGGTGAATAACTAATTAATGTGGGAGATTGTTGATTTGGCCACCCAGGAAAAATTATTTTCTCTTTCAAATAATGTCACGGGATCTTTAATGTTGCCCCAAAAGCAAGCAGACTGCATTTCTGTTTGTCTCAAGATTGTGACTCCGGAGTACCGCATTCGACTGTCAGCCTGGAGTCTGGGGACGACGAGCTCACGTATTAGGACACATTGTAAAATACATAAACTTGGATCTAGTATTAAAAGAACAGAATAATACCACAAAGGTATTTTCAAGCCCCATTCCGAGACCTGAGCTCATAATCTCAGCTGCTACTCCAGCTCAGTCACCCTCCATCCCTCTTGATTCCAACCCTCAGCACATCCTTGACCGCCCAGCGCTTTGGGACTTCCTCCCGACGGTGAAAGGCGCTGCACAAATGCAATCTGTCGTCGTTCGATTCTGAAGGAGCGCTTGACCTTTGAAGTGAGTTTGAACAATAGCCCCGAATTACTTTCATGGGAAAAAAAATAGCTTTCCTTTCACTATTTGAACTCCCTCTTATAAAGTCAGAGAAAATGAGCATTAGTTTTTTAAGAAACCGTCAGGAGTGGGTCCACGTAAACCGGAGCGCCATCTGCTGTAACTACACGGAGTCACTTACCAACAACTTACAAACAAATGCTGCCCAAACAGTCAGAAGGATGGAGGGAGAAGGGGATCGAGTGTGATGTGGGGCATAAACGCAGGCACGGACTGGTTGGAACGAAAATCCTGTTTCTGTGCTGCACACTATGTAAATCTACGTAACTTGGAAAGCCATCAGGATCGTAGAGATCATCGCTGTTGCAACATAAATCATGAAATGGTGAAACAAATCCCGGTTCGCCCGTTCCCGACAGTTAAGAGTTTATTGTTTGCATCCGTGGAAGATGCAAACTCGCTGACCAGCTAGAGAGGAGTTTTCTTGGCGTAGCTGAAAGTGGCCTTCCCTCTGACATTGTCAGCAGGCGACTGAAGGCATTGAGCTGAACCAGTCAATATACAACATTTGTGATGTATAAATCGACTGTTTGATCTACAGACTTGTGGAGAGCACAATTTCCACCTGCTTACACAGCAACAATAATAATCCTCGCATTTGATTTAGCGATTTTCACGCCTTCTCGACGTCTCAAAGCGCTTCACAGAATATGCTGTAAAGTGAATTGACCGTATATTTGTGGGCGAAAAGCGGCAGCCAATTGCGCACAGCAGGGTCTGTCCCACCAACAGTCATGAATTGAAAATGACCAATTTATTATTGTTTTGATTCTGATTGGCATTTGAAGTTGTTTTCGACACGTACTAACCGCACAGCACACCGACATAGCTACAGGTTTCACATGTATATGAATTGTTAACCGTAACCCAATGTGCACTATAACTGGATGTAATTTAAGGATTTAACGATAATCAATTATTAAATTCCACAGCTCATTAGCATGTCAAAATACTTCTGTTGTATTTTAGTGAAACCTTCCAAACCTAAGTGTCGAATCCAAGGAAAATTACTGCAAGGGAATGACATCAAGCTTCAGTGTAAATCAGAGAAAGGCACTAACCCCATCCAGTACAGGTGGGAATGGGTTTCAGATGCCAATGGTCACCAAGCCAAATTTCCATCTAGTTCACACATAGGTAAGTGATTGACATTTCACTGAACACAGGAGCTTTTATCAAACGCAAAACCATTATCGGTTAGTTTTATTTGTGTTTATACAATGACGGCGTATGTGTTATAATGTGATGACAGATTGAGAATTCTGGTTTACACAGTAGTTGAAAGGGCAATAGATGCAATGTGATACAGGGGCTATATCTAAAGAGTTCTCGATACTGTAAGATGGTAATACATAGCACTTCTTGGGTCATTTTTGAACCACAGGCTTTTCCATCTAGAATTCACCGTCCAAATAACAGTGGTTTCACTTTCAGATTCAAGTATCCCAGAAGTGCTGATGATGAAGAACCTGAGCCAAGAGAGCACTGGCCTGTACCGGTGTATTGCATTCAACGAGGCAGGAGAAGACAGTTGTCATATCCGTGTAACAATTATGCGTGAGTTATATGCCTGAATAAATGGTACCAATAAGATTGAGGTGGGAGAGAGCCTACTCACCATAGCTAAAATTAAGTTTAACTAATTATCTTTTGTCCATCTTTATGGACTCTATATCAAACTACATCGTGGTTGAGAGGATGAGGAGTTAAATTGCTTAAAGTATCTCAGACTTACCGAGCCTCTACCCTAGGCTTGCCATCAAGCTCCATCACTGTTAAGTGCTTCGAGACAAGATGCTACATGAATGCGAATTGCTGTTGTTGTGTCTGTCAGCACCTTCCTGTCCCTCCCTCCTCTGGAAATTCCTGGTATCTCTTCTCATTGAAAAAAACAACTAAAATCCATGTAGAAAATTAAACATTTTCTCCACAGAAGGGGCTATTTGGCCCATTTGTCTCTGTGCCGCAATCAGCTGTTTTTTTTCCCCCAAACATAGTTTTGCAAAAGCAAATGCAACTGGGAGTAAGAACAGAATTGCAACGACGCGATTACTTTAGGAAATGCAGGCATCCTGTGGCAAATGTTTGTTAAACAAAAATATCAGTGCGTTCAAGAATATTAAAAAGAGGTTTGACTTTTACAGTGAAAGTCTTGGCTTAGTTTAAGCCTTTTTTAAAAAAAAACTCTTCAGATTTAGTTCCAGAATGTGACGCCATTAATTTGTTGTTATTTTTTTTTCGTTTGTAGAAGTGAAAGATTCCGGAGTTGTCGCTGGTGCTATTATTGGAGTAATAGTCGGCCTATTATTAATCTTTTTTATCGTATGGTTCATGCTACAGACCAAGAAAAAGCACAAGCACGAGGAAGTAGAAATACCAAATGAGATTAGGTGAGAGTTTCAATCAGCTTCTTAACACATGCAAAACAATCATGGAGGAATCCAATTGGTTTTGAAGACTTACGCATTAAGTGCGGTAAGTGCTCATGCAGCAACGGGTCAAGACGCATTGAATCTCGGGAAATGTAGTCTTGACCTGCCACCTCATGCGTGCTTTACCGGCTGCATTGAATTACGCACGAGCAGTGTAGATTATTGATTAAATCGGATTTTCTTTGACTTATAGTTTGCCTGCAACTCGAACTTCCTGCAAGTCATATTAAATATTATGGTCCCGACTGATAGAACTTGTCCGAGTTTTACTGTATAAGCACATGTCAGGAACTCCACATGTGCCTGCAATTATGGCTGCAAATCAAATCCAACTGAATTTTTCTGAAACAAGTTATAGAACGGGATGTGCTGATTGTAAGTTCTAATCTTAAATGAGCACAGTGTGCTTTTTCCTTTTTGTGTTGAACAGGGAAGACGCTGAAGCACCGAAGGTGAAGCTGGTTAACACACACTCCTCATCGGGAACAGGAAGCACTCTATCTGGCTCCTGTTCGGTCAAGTCCATCAGAAACGACAGCACATACTACCAGCAGCCTCGAACAGTAACACTAAGCGCTGACGAGGTCAGGCCGCACATTGCCTATGCACAAGTGCCAGCAAAAGAGGCTACATCTAACCAGAATGGACCAAGCCACGCAAACATAAAGAGAATGGGAGCGGTGCCAGTTATGATACCAGCCCAAACCAGGGCATTCCAGACTGTGTGAGCACGGCTTGCTTCTAAAGGGGAGATCTTTAAGGGAATTTCAGCAAGTAATAATTATTGTTCACCTACAAATTATCCAATCACTACACTTTACAGTAAAATTCTGTGAAATCTTAAGAGACGTTTCGAAGGCATTATGAGGAGCTGTTATCAAAGGTATTATTATAATTTTAAGGTTGGACAATCTTCCTTTTCCTGATTCTGCCATGAGCAAATGATGTCAAGTAAACAGGATGAAATTGTCTGTAAGCAGACGCAGTATGTTGGTTTGAAGAACTTCCACAAAAACAGGTACCCATTATTTGGAGCTTCATTTTCTTTCTAACTTTATTTGTTAAACTTTTAAACAATATTCCAATATTGGTTGAGAACAATTGAGAAATACTACAACACAGCTCAGAGTTGGGAGATGTCATTGGAAGAAAAATGGAAGCAGAGAGACAATCTTTTGTATTCTGGAGGAGGGACATTTTGTAAATGTTTTCATACAAATAGCACTGGTTTAATTTTTGCAAAATGTGGAGTGAATTCCTAATGTGTGAAGAATGCCATTCTGTTACCCCTATGGCAGCCACTCTGATCTATTCAAGTTTGCTTCCAAGTGTATTTTTGTCCAAGCTGCTGAACAAATTATTTTACATAAAAATGCATGAAATGATAAGAGCCATTTCCCTGTGTTTCCCCAACACTCATTGATTTGAAGGACACATTTTTCTTCTTTAAATCAATGTAATTTCTTTGCTGTGAATGTCTCATATTCACCTTTGAATATGTTGTCGCCATATGTGTATATACACACACTATATAGATAAATATTAATTTGTCACATAATCTTACCACGTTCTACAAATGGCTTGCAATATCATCACAAAGTATACTTCCTTGTTTTCCTCTATACACAACACAGCAGAGTGGGTATACATTGATAACACAGAAATGAGAATATGAGTTTGGTTAGACTGACACATGTGGAAACCGATCACCATATTTAAGAGTATCCAAACCAAACTACTGAGGTCCACGTCTGCAGAAAATTTCACTTGTCTGAATCGGAATATGCTCTCTTGCCCAGAGGAATGCATCCTGCTTGCCGTATTCCAGAAAGAGCCAAAGGGATCTAAACTCAACTGATTTAGCAATATAGCCCAGCATCTTGTTTGCCTCGTTTATTGCTGCCTCAGATAGTGAGCGACACATCAACTCAGACCCATAGATCGATTTCAACTTCTATCCCATCCATGGAGTACTTGGGACATCCTCCTGACGTGAAAGGGGTTTTACAAATGTAATTTTGTATTGTACTGGTGTTTTCTAAAGTTTTGACCAACGTGTGGAAATAAAAAAGGATGTGCAGAAAGGGAAGAAACAGAGCCTTAACTAAATGACAAGTAGAATCACTGCGAGAGTTTAAAGGGAAAAACAATCGGTAGTTATTGCACTCTGTGCTAATGTGCTGTTCTTTTCATTAGATGTAATCTTTTTATGAAGTTGCCTTCTGCTCTAAAATGCTTGAAGTCAGTAATATTGAAAGCACTTATGTCCTCAAAAGATCATCTGTGAATTGCCAAACACACATTTGAATACATATGACTTGAGCAAAAATGACACTGGTTTAGTACAATAATAATGTAAAAAAAGTGTCTCATTTCAAGTGCAAATGTATATTTTTGTAATTCAGTGTGTTCTGGGTTGAACCTTGTAACAATTCTCCAGTAAAATAATAATTTTAATTTATTGTTTATATTGCTTGTTTCTGTTTCCCAAAAGCGAATCAATGTCTGCAAAATTTCATCTGCAGTAAAAAAAAAGTTGCAATAAAGAAATAAAAACGTGTGACTGGGGCAATCAGAAACTAGACGCACATAAATGATACCCAAACTCCTTCTTCCAAATAATTAAGCAAATTATTACACCGGAGACTTAACAGCCTAGACAGCTTGTCATTTCATCTTTGCTTAAGGAATATAATCAGGCTGCTGAGTTATTATAACTTAGCTTTTTGAAATTTAGTGGTCAAGGGTGAAAATCAGTAGAAATACTAAGAATACAGGAACCAAGCTGGAATGAGAGCTAATTTTTGCCCAAAACAAGTTTGCCCACAAGCGGTAATGGAGCCTGCTAGCCTGGCTGTAGAACATCTATTGTTATATTACAATATATTTATCACATTGTGCAACACTTCATTTCCAGCTAGTCATTATCAACAAGAAACCACACTGCAGATTAAGACTTCTTATACACAGTATTATGGAAGATTCAGGACTGTGTTGATAAGGGGTGAAGGGTACTCCAGTCATTCTCATCCTTCTTCAGTGATAGCACATTCTCAGTGTAGATTAGGATTGTATTATAGAGTATATGCATTCTATCAGTTTTCATGCACTGCAAATTGGCTGCTGCATGTTTTTAATGACCAGAGTCAATGAAACTCTTCGTCCCTTCCTATGGTCTGACGTGCAACAATTAGAAATGAAATTCATGCCACAGAAATCCAGAGGAGGAAGAAATGCAGTCACTGTGCAAACAGTAATATAACTAAGTAGTATTTAGTGAAAGGAGATTTATTCCACCCCTTCCCAAAGAAACCACAGTAGAGAACAATAAATGCACTTAAGGTTAAAACAAAAGTAGTCAGATTTATTACACACCATAAATGCAAAAAATTGCATTCGTTCCTACTGTAGTTTAAATTAATACTGAAGTGCTAATTTGTAACCAAAATCCAACTAATAGTGAAAGTGACTCATTATCAATTGTGTTATTACAATTGTTTAGTCTTTGAAAAAGACAAACAAAATACAGAAAAAAAATTAATCTTTTTTGAATATTGAAACTACATTATCTTAGTCCTAAAGTATTCAAAACTATGCAAACAGACATTTCAAGTTTGTTAGACAATCTTCTGGATACGTAAGTTCCTTAGCTCTCCCGTTTCTCATTCTCGCCATTCTCCAAGTGAGTTTTTCTCTTTTTCTCATCAATTTTGTTTTCCTTAAATATGTGTTTTCTGTAAAACTTTAGTTCTTTGATGCTCTCACAAATATCATCCAATGCTCTGAAATATTAAAATTAAAACACTTACAATCCTTTTAAAAAGGTTGATATAATGTAGAAGCAGATTTTTTAACCAAACTCTTGTCCAAAACTTATTGGCTGATGGGAGCATTCAATTGGTACATTTAAAAGGGAATTGGATAGGCACATTTGGAGGAAAGATTTTAGACGGTACATGGGGAAAAAACATGGAATTAGAATTACGCTAGAATACTTTATTCAAGGCACTAATAAAAAGACCAAGAGATTTATAGTATTGTGCTATACTACCATTTCATGGATATTGTCAGCTCCCAAAAATCTATTCCAGAAGCCATTGTCCTACCTGAGCCATAATTTTAATAGTTTGCACTTGTCAAAGTCAGATAGCAATCTCTCTCTTTGACAGGGCTCCCTTTGCTTCCTTGCCCCTTGGCCCTTTCCACCGCCTTCGACACAGTTGAACATGCCATCTTCCTCGACTGCCTGTCCTCCCTCATCCACCTCAGCACTCTCCTGGTTCCAGTCCTACTTGACCCACCTCCTCTGCAAACAGTTTCTTCTCCCACCCCCGCACGGTAACCTGTGGCATACCCAAAGGCTCTATCCTTGGCTCCCTCCTTTTTCTCATTTACATGCTCCCTCTCAGCAATTTCACCCACAAATTTCACAACTTCCACATGAAAGCGGACACCACCTAAAATCGAACTTGGAACCCACAGAGTCTAAGGTGACACACCTATGCAGTGCTGGGGGTCTAACAGATTAAGAGGCTCCAGGTCATTTCACTTCAGATTATCGGGATGTAAAAGAACAGAGAGATTTCGCCCTTCCCCTATCTTTTTGTATCAGTGCTCCAAGCAAACAGAGTGTAGGTAGTCATACCTGTGTGATGCCCTCTTCTTTGGTGCCTCTTTATATTCTTCTGGATACCAGCGCCTGAAAGCATAAAAAAAATAAGTTCCATTTCTAGACTGCCTACTTTTAACTCACACTAATCCTCCTGCTCATCCCTCAACCCCATCAACACATATCAACAAAAACAAAGTGTACCAATCAGGAACCATGGATGATTTTCTTCTCCCAAGAGCAGGGATACTGAGCCAATTGTAGCAGCCTTACTGCTACCCAAGCTAATCAGCAGAGATAGTGTATCAAACTAGACACCCTCCGGGGTTCAATGAATAGTAGAGACTGAAGCCCTAATCGGTATTTTTGTTGTTTAATTTGGCAACAAACATCGGGTGCAAAAGACCAAACAGCAGCAATCTTTACCTGCATAATTCCTTAAGCGTGCTGACATCAATTATTCTGTAATGTAAATGTCTCATCAACTGTGGCATGAATTTGTCCAGGAACTTCTTATCAGCATGGACAGAATTTCCTAGAAATAAACAAAATGTATGGAACATTAATCTAATCTTCCTTCCCCCTCTGCCTACAAATAAAATACAAAGTCATACATAAACTGATGTGCTTTGAGATATTGAAGAAGCCATCCGTCCTAATGCAAATTATGTTCTTTCCCTCATACCCTCTCTCTGTATGCCCTTGTCCAATTATATTTTAGATGCACCAAACACCTGCTTCAGCCATCCCTGGCAAATCACTCCATACCTCAACAACCCTCTGGGAGAAGTTCTTGACCTTCTAAATCTCCCCTAGGGGATATTCGCCTAGTCACAATCTTAAAATCATATCCTCGATACCCCCAGCCGAAGATTTTCTTCGATTAATTCTCTTGACCTTTCAAAACAGGCTGCCTAATGAAAGCGTACAAATCACTTAAATCTAATCAAATTAGCTTAACCTCTTCTATTCCCATTGAGCACATAACCTTATACAAATAATTTGGAGGTAGTCATTTCTAAGCTCCACAAGACTCTCCTACCAAACCTACCTGCTAGAGGACAGAGGCCTGGTGGGGTCTGCTGGCGTACAAATGACAGAAACTCGTATTCTGCTTGTTGCAGGCTCATCTTGCTGTCCCGCACTGCCTGTGTGAGGCCAGACTACAAAGAGGAAACATTCATACAAACTCTGAGAAATAGGTCTAGATTAGATTCTTTCCCTAGATCATCGTAGAGATGATATACATTGCATCGCAGAAAGTTGAAGTTTGGGATCATCATATTAATAATCATGCTCTCAATATTGCTAAGATTGTTGTACCTTGTTACACAGATTCATACTTTAGAGCTGCTGTTTAAGTAAGCTTGGACACAAACACTGGATAGAGCGTTGGGGGCACCGTGAGCTAATCAAGGGGTGCTATAAGATTGCCATCCAGCAGATTTTAAACCAGATGGTTTTATATGCAGATGTAAACCGAAAGTAGGTAATCAAACATCACTTTACCTTTCCATGCTGCTCCCTACACCAATCTGACATACTGTCCAGCAATTCATCTGGTTGATTAATTATCAAATGTGGACCCTGATAAAAGAAAGTCAATTTTTTTAAAATTGATTTTTAAGAAACAAAAAACAGTAAGTCTTTAATTTGAAAAGGGTTTAACTTGCCTCTGCCAAAATATTCAAGTCTGAATCAGTTATAATGCAAGCCATTTCAATGATTTTATCTTTTTCTATGTCCAACCCAGTCATCTGTAAACGAAAAAAAATCAGATAAATATTTGAAAGCCTTTTACAGGTTAATGAACATTTTTCTCATGATCAGCAGTTCGAAAATGGAGGCCTCTTGTAATGCAATAAAATGGCTAAGTGGTGATTCTGTAGAGCTGACTCATCACCTTTCTCAGTTAAACAGTTCACTGACCACAGCACACAACCGACAGACCTAAAACTGACACGGTACAAAATTTACTCCCCTACAAGTAATAACGCACAACATAAACTACACAGCAATATCCACAAATCAATGTGTGCATTTTAATTCGCAAAACATAGCAACAGAAAACACACGTCCTGAGCAATTCATCAGGAAAACCTGGAAAGCTGCTTTAGGATTTTTTTTAAAAAAAAGGATATTTAAGATAATTCAATGCTTTGGAATTAGGGCACTTAGACCAGAACTTGTTCCCATTTTGAAGTTGCCTGCACCCAGTTTATTTAGATGCCGGAGGCTTAGCGGTTAGAGCGAGCGCTCGCCTGGCAAGCGAGAGGACTTGGGTTCGAATCCCGAGGGGGGGGGGGGGTGGGTGCAAAATGTTGGGCAAGTTTCCTTACTCCACACCCCCCCCCCCGCCCGCTTCTGTTTACCTATTGGTTCGGTCACTCGATCCGCCCAAAAAAAAAACACGCGCGTGAGTCAAGTCAATCCCCTACGCGGCGAAGCTCTTCGGAGACGTCTCGAAGGCGCGGTGTCAAATGCAAGGGCTTATTACTACAATTATAATTAGTATTATTATTATTACCACCAGCCTGGCAGGCCCGCCCCTGGATTACCCCAGGAGGGGGAGGGGGTAAGGGGGAGAGGGGGTGTGGGGGGAGGGGTGTAGGGGGGGGGGGGGGGTGCGGGGGGGGAGGGGGTGCGGGGGGGAGGGGGTGCGGGGGGGGAGAGGGGGTGCGGGGGGGGGGGAGAGGGGGTGCGTGGGGGGGAGGGGGTGCGTGGGGGGGAGGGGGTGCGTGGGGGGGGGAGGGGGTGCGTGGGGGGGAGGGGGTGCGGGGGGGAGGGGGTGCGGGGGGGAGGGGGTGCGGGGGGGAGGGGGTGTGGGTGGAGGGAAGGGCCTGCCATCCAGGGATCAATCCCCTGCCACGTTTCACCCACAAAAAGCCACTTGCGAGTTATATTAAACGCCGTTATCATCACCACCGCCGCCGCCGCCATCATCGTTTACCTCCAGGTCCACCCAGACCATCCTCTGGGCCATACCCTCCGTTGCCATGGTGACCAGGCGCCGGGCTGCCAGCGGCGGGGCGGCGGCGGCGGCGAGAGCCGAGCCGGAGAGGGAGAGGAGGAGGAGAGGAGGAGGAGGCGGCGCCGCCCTGCACGCGCGGTTCCCGGGCGGGTGAGGGTGAAGGAGGCGGCGGAGGGAGGTGGAGGGGGACGGGGGGGAGGCGAGCGGCGGCGGCGGTGGGCAGAGGGGCGACAAGCGACTCGCTGCTCTTTTAACCGTCGCGCTCAGCATCTCCCGCCGGCCGGCGCCAATCCCGTTTACGGCTCCTTTCCCCCCCCCACTCCCTGTCCTATCCCGTTCCAGGGCTCGCGTCGTCGCTGTCGCAAAAACAACGCAGCGATGCCGTAAAAAAAACACTCCAGACTTGACGGCACCCGCAGCTGCCCCAGAGTTGGCCCGGCGGGTTGGGGCGGGTTCCGGGGCGGGTTCCCGCCCAATTGGGCGGGTTCTGTGCCACTGTCACTGTGCGTGAAGTAAAACGTTTTTTTTTGGTGGGGGGGGGTCGCGCTGGTGGTGCCTATTTTTTAAATTTAAACCTAAAATTTAAGTTAACCCCCCCCCACCCTTCCCGCAGTGGCGCAGTTGGCTGCCGCCTTTCGCCGGCCCGCGAAAAAAAAAAACCCCGCAATGCACAGTCACTACACTTTCCCCGGTATTTTCCGCGAAGCGCTTCGAGACGTCTCGACGTGACGAGGCTCTGCTGGGTCAAAATGCCAGGATTAGAGTGCTCAGTGGTTAGAGCACTCGCTTTGCAAGTGAGAGACCTGAGTTCAATTCCAGGCAGAGGGCGAAACCTCGGGCAAGTTTCCTTACTCCACACAGAGCCTAATAATAATCCTCCAAAACCCAAAACAATAATAAAAATTGGTCTTTTTCAATCTACGACTGTTTGTGGGACATTGCTGTGCGCCATTGGCTGCCGCGTTCGCCCACAAATATACAGTCAATTCACTTTACAGTGTGTTCAGTGAAGCGCTTTGGGACGTCCTCCCGACGTGAAAAGCGCTATATCAAATGCAAGGATTATTATTATTATTATTAATTATTATTATTACTTTTAATGCTGAACGGTTATGATCTGAGTCAAGAGGAACACCATCACGTGCTCAGGGACTGATGTCATTCCGTAACTTTTCTTGACACGTCAGTGTGCGTAAGTCGGACGCCGCGGCCGGCGCTCTGACGTCGTCCGATTGTGACGCACCCACGCACAGCACGCACGCACGCAAAGGCGCCCGGGAGGGGGGCGGGGCAGAGCCAGAGCGAGGCTGGGGAGCCGTTAGTGGTGGGGGGGGCGGGAGGCCGAGGCCGCCATCATGGGCATCTCGAACGACGCCGATAAAACCCTGTTCGTCGGCAACCTCGACGTGAGAGTCACCGAGGAGATTCTGTACGAGTTGTTTCTGCAGGTGAGGGAGAGGGGGTGGAGAGGGAGAGAGGGAGTGAAGGGGAGAGAGGGAGTGAAGGGGGAGGGAGGGAGTGAAGGGGAGAGGGGGTGAAGGGGAGGAGGGAGAGTGGGTGAAGGAGGAAGTGAAGGGGGAGGAGGGAGAGGGGTGAAGGGGAGGAGGAGAGGGGTGAAGGGGAGAGGGGGTGAAGGGGAGGAGGAGAGTGGGTGAAGGAGGAAGTGAAGGGGGAGGGAGTGAAGGGGAGGGAGGGGGTGAAGGGGGAGGGAGGGAGAGGGGTGAAGGGGAGAGGGGTGAAGGGGAGGGAGGGAGAGGGGTGAAGGGGAGAGGGGTGAAGGGGGAGGAGGAGAGGGGGTGAAGGGGAGAGGGAGTGAAGGGGGAGGAGGGAGAGTGGGTGAAGGAGGAAGTGAAGGGGGAGAGGGGGCGAAGGAGGAAGTGAAGGGGGAGGAGGGAGAGAGAGAGGGGTGATGGGGAGAAAGAGGGGGTGAATGGGAGGGTTGAGGGGGAGGAAGGGGTGAAGGGTGGGGGGGCTAAGGGGGGGGAGGAGAAAAGAGGGGTGAAGGGGAGGGAAGGAGTGAGGGGTGGGGGGGGGGGAAGGATGAGGATGGGGTGGTGTGGGGGGCGGTGAGGGGAGGCCGAGCCGCCTTCAAAATGAACCTTGGGGACGTTTTATTTCGCCCGTCGCTTCGGGGGTCGTTTAACTTTTATATTAAATAAACGACGACGACGACGAAGAAGAAGAACTGGAAACCGGTCAAGTTGTCAATCTAAACCGTCTCTTGCGAAAGCGGTGACTGGACTGTAACTCCCTCCCGTTGCTCTCCCTTCCCTTCTCCTCCTCTCTCACTCTCGCTCTCTCACGCACTCGCGCTCGAAGACGACCGACAACAAGATCGCATTTGCATAGCGCCTTTCACGTCGGGAGGACGACCCGAGGCGCCCACGAGGCTCGAAATAGCTTTGTTTGTAGCCCCAAAAGCCCACCAGACACTTTTCACTCATCGCCCCCGCGCTTGACACAGCGCCAACATCGCGTGAAGCGCAGTGACTGTGTGTTTTGTGTGCGAAACGCGGCAGCCAATTGCGCACAGCGATGGCGGTGTGCCCCGCAAACCGCCGTGGATAATAATTCCGCAAGCGAGAGGACCCGGGTTTGAGTCCCGGGGCCGGGCGAAACGTTAGGCGAGTTCCCTTACTCCACACGCCTCCGTTTCCTTAGCAGTAAGTAGGAACCCGGTTATGATCGATTGGCGGATCGCTTTATTATCCTGGGATCCTTCAAAAAAAGTATTAGTCAGTCACTTTGTTTGTGCCCTCACTTTATTTATTTGCCGTATAATAATCCTTGCATTTGATACAGAGCTTTATCAAGTCTTAGAGACGTCTCAAACCAGTGAATAAAGAGGAAACGGTTTGAATAAATGTTACAGCAGATCATTTACCCCCTCTTGTCAGTGCTTGTGTTTTTATCCATGAGTTGCCTAATCTAATCCCACATTCCACGCTTTTATATTCCTCCTTTTCAAGGATTTATCTAATTTCCCTTTAAAATAATTTATGAACTTTGCCTCGTCAACAATTGGTGCAAACAAGTTCCAAACAGCCTCTGTAAAATATTTTTTTCTGTCTTCCTGTTTAATTGTTGCTGTAGTTATCTTAAATTTGTGTCTCGGTATTTGTTTTGAGTTGGATTCAAAATGTTCACTTGCTGTTCACAGGCTGGTCCCCTCATTACTGTAAAAATCCCAAAAGACAAGGAGGGGAAAACAAAGCAGTTTGCATTTGTGAATTACAAACACGAGGAGTCTGTCCATTATGGAAAGGACCTGTTAAATGGAATACCACTGTTTGGCAGAGCTCTCAACATCCAATTCCGATCGGGTAAGGATTAGGTTCTACGTTGAGGTTACCCCGTAGGACTTTGCTCTGAGCAAAATGGTCCCATAAGATAAATGCCTACGCTTAATTTATTACTTTAAAGCTCTGAGATATTTGGATGCAATGAGGCTCCATTAAAAAAGCAATATGTTACAAAATGTTTGAAATTTCATTGTGTAATTGTCAAATTCTCATCTTAGTTTCAAGAATAGTTCCCTTACGGGCACACTTTATAGGAAGTTGTAATTTCTGTTCACTTCACGAATTGCCCCTTTTTTCCAGGGAGTGTTCATGATTCCCGGGAAGGAAACCAGGCTCCAAATTCCAATGTTGGTTCATACTCCAATCAGTTCAATAATAACCGGTAAAAGCATTTTTGTAACTCTTCAAATATTTCCCTTAATTGTAAGAATTTAGGTAAGCAGTTGGGACCCTTCAGGGAGAGAGTGCGCATTCCAGTCCAACAATCTGGTCTCTGCGATTTCATATGTAGATGGGATGTATGGAATCTCAGTTTGGTTTGGATTCTCGGATCCAAATCCCTGACTGTCCAGTGCCTTGGGACGTCCTCCCGACCTGAAAGGCGCAATGCAAATTTTGGAATGAATCAATACTCCCGATAACTGGACTCTGGTTTATCCTGTTACTACCACTTAAGGTATCTTGCTGTCAATATCCTGGCTGTATTTATTTATGTATTTACACATGTGTAAGGCTGTAAGAAAGTTATGATGCTTTTGCTCCAAAGGTTGCGGCCACAGTCCGTTAAAAGTTGTGGTTTTGGTGCGGTCAGTTCAAGTACTTACAGTGAGTATGCGCTACCATTGGATCATTAACCCGCCCCATGCTCCTATTCAACCATCATATGGGGGCCCGGAGGGGTAGTTTGCCCCTGCTGTCATTTCTCTCCTTTGCTCGCAGCCCTTTTATCACATTCTTACATTTATCATATGCGACTGTGGATCCTCGCTTCATGTTAGTCATTTGTTGAGACTGGTAAGCTAGACGCTGTTTTTAAATCTTCAACATTGTCTCTGTAAAATTCCATTTAATTTCCCAGTTGTTGACATCTCCTACTCAGTATTTGACAATACTTACTGTAAGGCGCGATAATGTTGATGGGTAGGGCTCGTGGAACGATACCTCAGTGCGATGAAGCGAAGAAAAAACACTAATTGTTATAAAAAATGTCCTAACATTCAAATTTATTTTCAGTAAAATCTTGAAATGTCTTGATCATTTTTCTTAACAGGGGGATGGATAAGGCTCATACAATTCAGAGATCATTTTCCTCACCTGATAGTCTTCAAAGACAGGCAATTGTAAGTTGGATCACCTACTATGGAAATGTTTTATTTTTGTCCACTCTTAATTTTGTTGGCCCTAAATCTGATTTTGTTTTTAAACTTAGATTTTGCAATGTGTTAAATATGTGAGAGGTACAATCTTACCTGATTACTTATTACATTTTATATTGAACAATTATGATTAATGGTGGTTATCAATCCACTCAACCAAAAATAAATAATAGCCGATTACAGAAATTGAGAGGCAAAGTTGGAGGGGAGATGTTGTGATTTTTGTATCAATGCAGTAACTTAAGAGAAAATATTGTTCATGCTTCATTCCACAGCCAAGCAGATGGCTGAGGAAAAGGCAGGTGTTCTTTGAAATGTGTTGAGTTTTTTTAACAAACTTGGGATTATTGTTTGAAAGGTGTGCAGTCAATCTTAATCGGTGTGAATGCTATCATGTATGAGCTAAGTGGAGCATCCTGTTAAGTATTTGCTATCATAGTGGTTGTGCTTTTAAAATAAGCTATAGCTACAAATTCAGGTATGTCTGGGGAAAAACATTCCCCTACTTTTTAGGGAAAAAAATAGTGTTTTTATGTAAACTTTCAGATGAACAACTTTCGACAACAATCAAGAGGAATATCCAGTTACCAGCTGGGAGGGCTGCAGGCAAACCTAACTGTGCGATTACCACAGCAACAGCCAAATAGAGCGGCCTCCAACCAGCCAGCAGGATTGCCAAATTATACCATTCCTGCACCGTCGAGATTTGTTACAACTCAAACCCAGTGGAATTTGGAAATGCACAGGCATAAAACCCAGCCACTGCCGTATCAGCAGGACAACAGTTATTACACGCAAGAGGGCTTCCAGGAATCTAGTTCAGATCAACGCTATAGGGGCAACCGTGAGTCAGAATATCGCCACAACAAAACTTGGGAATATGATCCCAGGAGGGAGCATTCTAGTAGTGAAAGACGACGAGCAAACTGGCATTAAAAAGTTGCAAACCCAGTTGATAGTATAATTGAATCCCCGTCTGTATTTAAATTTGTGGTTTGGTGAAATGAGAATTAAATGGAAATGGGATCCACTGAATAGAATCACCAATTTGCGTTCCACTTCCAGTTTATTCTAATTCTAAAGTATTTAGTGTTTTATTTTAGTATGCCTAGCCAGAAGAATATCTTTAATATCTTAACAGCCTTACGACCAAGGTTGGCGTGAGTTTGAACTAAATTCTTCCAGAACTTTTTTTTGTTGGTGCTTTACAAACCCCTAAAGTTGTGTGCTGAGGGAAATGATATTAACAGCAATAAAAGAGAAATGAAAAGAGCTTTTTGACAATGTTAAGTGTACAATTGCTGAAAGGTGGCATATTCTTCATATCAGAATAATTGTACGGTGGTATAATAAATGAATCTGACTAAGGATGTTATTTTTAATTAATGGTTTAGTGAGTAAACGATCGACCACTGTCAAGATCTGGAGAAGTGTAGCAGGAATGATTGAGTTATGAATCCAATGAGTTGCTTTCGTAGCTTTACAAGGATGGAGTGTGATGTGATTGGGTGGCAGATTGCCAAGTGGCAATGTCCAGCCTGATCTCAGCAAAGTGAGTGATCCTGTTAGGTTAGTTTAATGCTCGTTGACTGAGGCTTGCCACTCGTTTCTTTCTGGCACGTACTAGTATTCAGAAAGTAAACGTGAGCTCCCGTAATTTACAATTGCATTTAATACCAGGAGTATGAATGTGTGGGAGTTGCCTAGTATTTTGTCTCCATTACACCATTACCAATATTAAAATTTGTGGAACGTCAAGTAAATCGCTTTTTAAGGGATAAGGGAGAAGGTAAACCTTTACTAAGAGTATAAAATATTTTGCTCAGTGTTGTGTAACCCTCATGTCAACTGGAGATTTCATTGCATTGGTTTTAGAGTTGATTAAAAATACATTCCTAAGATTTTTGACAAGTGATATACACTCTGCAGCTACCTCTATGCATGATAATTGAAGGACTCATTAACGATTTGACTTATGTGTTAGAAACATGTGTTTATAAATACATTTTCACCATTTTTCCAATTTTACAAATATGTTGTTAACCATTCCAGGACTCCAAAACTTTTTACTTTTTTTAATGTGTTTTTTTTAAAAAAAAAACTTTTCCCAATGCAGTATTGTTGAGCAAAAGAAAAATGTTAACTGCAGTGTCTTGACTAATCAGAAGAAAAAAATAATGTGGAACTTTAAAATGATACTGTACCTCGATCTAAATTTGGTTTGTTTTAGTTGTACAGCTTGGTGTAATGTTCATGAACGTTGTTAATATTGAAGCCTTTTTATAAAATTTCGTACAATTTTGTAGGAAAATCTGATTACGGAATATTACATGATTTTAAGACTTTGACACAGCTTTTGCATATTGTAGCTGAGTAAGAATATGCCTGTAAAATCTATCGTCTTGTTAATAGATTTTACTCTTCTGTGCTATCTAGTGGTGGAATTTATTCTGCATTTCTTTCCCCCACTCCTATGGAATTTGAAATAGGTTTGAAAAGTTGTTAAGGATTGTACAGGCTGCAGCAAATGAGAAATTGTCACTTTCAGTAATGTACTTACGTTCTGTTTCTTTACACTTTAAAGTCGGCAGTGTTTCAAAGTAAAAAAAACACAAAACAATTCTTGACTCTTCATTGTGTGTGCATCTTGCTTTCTTCCAGATACTTTATAATCACCGGTAACAACAACTTGCATTCATATAGCGCCCACCACTCAGCGTAGCATCCCAGAGCGCCTGAATCACCATTCTAGTTCTATGCACATGTATATTCAAGTTGAAATTTGTATTACAGGTGTAAATAAAGTAGAACACTGGGTGAGAGAGATATTATTTCATGTCTTGAGAACTGAAATCCATCCCACTGCAAGTATGTGATCGGTCATTTCCTTCCAATAGGGAGGTGGGAGGGAGAAAATAATTAGTATTGCTGCTAAATTCAATGACTTAATGTGTTTTGATGGAAGCTTGTTTTCCTTCAATTGAGGTACAATTCACTTCACAACAAGACCTGGTAACCTCCCAGTGAGATCGACAGTGGCGGAGCAGAGCCCAAGAGGGCGGGCGTGAGGAAGGCAGAGGTATGGTCAGAGAGTAAGCTCTTCAGGCGTGACCTAAGGAATGGGGCAAGGTGGAGGGAGTGAGGGAGAATGAGCCAGAGTTTTGGGGAGTAGTGGCTGAAAGGGTCAATAGTGGAACGGAAGACATGAGGGACAAGCAGGAGGCTGGAGCCAGTCAAACGGAGGCAACGGGTGGTAGGTTGGGAAGTTAGCAGATTGGGGAGGTGCCAGGGTATGAAGGATTTGAAAATGAGTGCGAAGATCTTGAAATTAATCCGTTTGGTGACAAGGAGCCAGTACAGCAGAGTTTTCGGTTAAGTGGATTCTATGGATGGTGGAGCTAAGGAGACTGGTGAGCAGGGCATTTTAGTGGTTTACAATCTTGGACCAAGTGCCCACTATTCATCTGTGATTGTTCACAAGCTGTTCCACTTGGTTTTAGAATAAGCTTGATCTGCATACACACGAACAGTCGCTAGGGGGTGATGTTGATGGGCTTTCGAATTCAATACTGCACCAAATGGAAATTTAGTTTGTGAAGGCTCTACACAATCAATATAATTGCATTTTCTTTGAAGCATTGCTTTGCTTCGCACCAAACAGAAATGCTGAAACCCCACAGCTGATTAATCACCTGCAAGGAAAATATTAACGGTTTCAGAGAGGGTGAGGGAGCCCTTTCTGAGACCAAAGTATGTATGAAAGGCTGGGGGGGTGGGGGGGAGCGCTCAGGACACAAACAGATAGGTGCTTGTTTATCTCTGGGATTGGATAGCAATAGGGGGAGTATGGCTTGTCACTTGGTGCTGATGAAGTTTCCCCTCTGCTAATAAACTTGCATCCGGTGCATCAGCATCTGCCTGGGTGGGTGGGTGGTCTGGTTACAGTATAATTAGACGTAGGAAGGTCAGGATAGGCATGAAAGGTTAAATCAGTAGCCGGGCCGCTCACAATTTGTTAAGATAAAAGATGGTTTAATTTTGGATTAGTCCAGGTGCTAATCTTGAGAAATTAAAATATAAAATGTGCTATTAAATAACGGTACGTATAATAGTCGTTTTATGACAGCAAACATGATCTGGGTTGTTGTTTGGGAGTACTATATCGATAGACTAACACACTGTTAGATGTTGATAAATAAATCAGCTCAATATACAACAGCGCATTTGACTCTCCTGTTATATCCTGATTAAATATTTATCAATAAAATAGATTTACGCTTTCATAATCCTTAGATAATTTCAAGTGAGCTCTACATGAAAGCAACAGAGGAAAAACATTTAACGGAGAACAGAAAGCAATTTTATCAGGGTTCAGTTTGAAAATTTACTGCGAGCTGACACCATTCCCAAAGTCACTGCATTCCAGCACTATGCACTCTGAATATTAATAGAGTTGATTAGTTTTATGCTAAGACCTTGGAATGACTGCACCACCTTGATAGCCCTAATCCCAATTCAGGCTCTCTGCACACTGAATGCATAATGCTTCCCATTACAGTTGCATCTCTTCAGTGAATAGACAAAAGTATGGAATAAAGCCATTAACAGGATAATTAATCCTTTGAAGTATTACATTTTCTTTTCAGTTTACCGGCATTCTTGTGTATAAACACTTGAATTATTATTATTCATAATCATATTAGAAAATGGGGCAATCATCTTAAAAAGTTATCAAATATTTTGGGTCTCTGAAAACAGAAAAATGCTCATTGCAGTATATTGATTTGGGTGTAATATTGTGGGTAAATGGATATGGTTTTTGAAGGAATTATTGTAGAGCTTATGGGGCCTGTATTGAAATATAGCTCATATTACAGTTAAGGGTTGATGGGTTTCTCTGACAGCTGTTAAGGCACAATGTAATTATTACTTCAGGCGATGTTCATTTGGTTCCCAGTGGACCTGAGTCAACAGTTCAAATTGGTACTAATTCATCTTCCAGGCATCATTAAAACTGGAAAGTGAGAAGTGGAAATATCCCAATTACTCTTGTATTAGATTTGGGGTTGAATCACATTGTGAAAATAATCTTAGAAAACGATCAATCTCATTGAACAGAAAAAAAAACCATAAGGTTGAGGCGTAATTGCCGAGTAAGAAAATGATTCTCAACTCTTCCAGAGTTCTATTGTATTAGTTTGAGAAAGTTAGGATGGTATAATTGGTTCCCCCTAATCACTCTTGGCGTGTTACGCAGTTACAAACTGAACCAGTAAAAAAAAATTGGTCGAGTTGTTATGAGAGACAATAATGGAACAATAGAGATCACTCTTCCCACTGCCTTAGGAAATGTTCAGGAAATGGGATATTTATTTTAGGGAATAAAACATGTTTTGGGTTAGTTGGATACCTGACACGTTCAGAAAACCTATCGTTGTGCTTCAGAGTATCAAAACCACACCTTTTGAGATGTCCTCCTGGGAATGTGAAAGTCTGTATAAATATAAATTGTATTGTGTAGTTTAGGGCTCCTTCCATTTTTTTTTGATCAGGTTCATAGTCACCGCACACACGGTAAGATATATCAACAGCTTATAATAGGACAATAATAGTAATACAGCATCTTATCATGTCCTTGAGACATCTCAAAGCAATTTGTAGGTCTAGTGATGCACTGAGGACCAGAGTTTAAGGACTCTTATTGCAATCAAAATGTTAATCAAAAATGTGTTAAATGCACTGATAAATGATAAGGCACTACATCAAATGCAAGAATTATTATTATTATTATTAACTCCTAAGATCCCTATTTCCGAGAAATTTTTTTGCTGGTGCTTCATAATTCACTTCAATGTGATCGTTATCATATTGAATGCGTTATGAAATGCCACCGATTTTCCTTCACTTTCTGAAACACCAATTTATTCACAAGGATTGCAATTGTTCGTGGGAATGTTCAGTTGGGCTGTTTCTGACCGGCTTTAAACAGTTGTTGCAACGACAGTGAGGTTGACTTTACAGCTTTGAGATCTCGGATGTTCGTGAATGTTAGTCTACACTTGTGCCCTCTTTGTATAGTAAGGTTGGGGTCATTGCCACAGTGGAAACAATATATTTATTTATTCGCGGGAGGCGTTAAAAATATGATCACGAAAGGGACAATCACACACAAAAGGGGTTTTTGTTTGTAAAGGTTTATTATATCAAAATACAAAACATTTTGGAAGCAGAATAATGTTGCATGGGAATTATTAAGCAGCTGAAAATGTCCATATAGCAATTCCCAAACTACGTTTAGTTAAACGTTCTCTATTATTTTGATGCACAGATTATCACGTGTCCTTAGCTGAGCGCACATATTTCTTTATGAACATGCAGCAGGTTTATTTGAATCGATGATGGGAGCAGAGTTGGAAATACAGAAGCTGGACAGCTCTGTCCTTATGATCACAATAAATAACAGGATTAGAAATCAACATCAGCTGGACTGCCTTACCGCCTGCCACTGACAGTCTGAACCTGAACTATCAGAAGCTATTAATTCAATGTCTTATTTAGAACTCGTGCAGGATGTGGGTTTACGTTCTGATGTATATTTGCACACATACACACTGTTATTTCACCGTCACAAATATGTGCCGCTGACTTTCAAGGCTATACCATATATTATAATAATAATAATAACCCCTACATTGGGTACCACACCTTTCACATCGGGAGGATGTCCCACATCGGGAGGATGTCCCAAAGTGAGTCACAGAATATACTGTACAGTGACTGTATTTGTGGGTAAATGCAGCCGCCAGTTGCACACTGCAATGTCAGGGAGGGAGGAATTTAACCCTAACCCTTCTCATTTCGAAGCGTGCCATGGGATCTTTAACATTCACCCAAACAGGCAGACAGGACCTCGGTTTAAGGCCTCATCTGATTGATATGGATATTAAAATCATGTTGCAGTGACGCGGATAAACCACTAAAATCATGTTCTTGAATTTCTTGGGTTTGATGTCATTTGAATCCCTAAATTCTCCTGTCTCGTCACACGCTCCTCCTTGTTGGCGATCTGGCACATACAATCTGCTTTTTTTCCCCCCCTCTAATTTCTCTGCTTTTGTGAGTGTCTGAATTTTGCAATTCCTCTGGAGAATACATCAAAATATTTCCGACTAAAGTAATCCACTTATTCTGTCTTTCTTTATAGTTACTTTAGGAAGTTTGCATTGGTGTAAACTTATAAACTATAAACTCTCGTCCTAACCTTTAAATCACTGTACGGTTTGGCCTCACGCTACCTCTGCACTCTACAAACACAGTTACTCCCTCTGCTCAGCTACCTTCTTCACACTGCCCCCTCCCTACCACCACCCCCGGCTTAGGTGTCCAACACCTTGAGATGCCCTCTGGACGATGCGAAAGGCACGACATAAAACATAACTGCATATTCTACTCTTACATATCCAGCGATTTCCTCAAACACATTTCTGCAGTATTCCCAGAATCAGTCAGATAATTTCACTAATTTTATCAACGGTCAGTCAGTTCTGCAGTCATTCAGCATCGCTTGCGTCCCAGCACCTTGGGACGTCCTCCCGACGTGAAAGGCGCTATAAAAATATC